GGCAGCCATGCACACCCACAAGCCCGAGACTGCCAGGACAGCTCTCGTGGCACAACGTGCAGCATCAGCTTCCACAACCACAAGCACGTTGATGAAACTTATCTGAAAGCTTCCAAATACCAAAACAGTCAACGTGTAACCTTGAAAATAGGCAGACCTGAAGCTTTATTCTGCAAATAATCTCTTAGATCAGTGTATTGCAGGTACCTGCACACTTACTAATTTCAGGAAAAGAATCCACAGTGGCAGATCAAAATAGAAAATAATTTTACAATATTCAAATGCTGGCTCCAGCTGCACACTGGCAGAAGCACAGTGATGTGCCTGCTGCCTTTGGACTAGGAGACATGTGAGGGGAGTAGCTTGGGCCAAAGAAATACAAAAATTAAGCAAGTTACTAGGATGGAAAAGGACTTTGAGATTGCTGTGACACCATTTTGAAATGGCTGCTGCTCTTAGACAACACACAGCAGGCATTATTTACTACACTCCATGTAACTCCCAGAGATGGCACAAAAGCTTAAAGTAAAAACAGCCGCTGAGTTAGATCACGAATATAAACTGAACTGACATTAAAGTAAGTTTATTTTTTCCTATCAAGTATGGCTGACATGTTTTATATGTCTCACTCCATTTAAAAACTGTCTACTGCAAGACTTCTTTCCACTGAAATCAACAAGCTGAAGTACTGAGTAAGTCTACAGCCATCTACAAAAGGCATGAATTGTGTAACAAGAAACTGATCCCTTATTACAAATTGTTCTCCCACATATGCCCGTGTCCTAAACCCATAAATCTTCATTATACTGCTGCTGCAACTGTTTGCTTTATCTCCTACAGGCAGCAACTGTCAAATATGCAGTACATGCTGACACATTTTGCAATTTTGAGCTACTTAACTACTCAGCTCCTGTGAATACGCCGTCATGGCAAATGGTAAGCAGTGAGAAAGTACAACACACAGATTTCTTCTCAGCTGAAGTTTTAAAATAAATTTTTCATTTGAAAGAAAATTATCTCAGTTCTAGCAAAATTCTGGCCATCTGGAGCCTCATTTATTACTTAATAAGAAAGCTAACGAGCCAAGCAAGATGGGTCCCCAAGTATTTTCCTGCTCTGGAATTGCTTGGTAACAAACTTTGGGTTTTCTCATCTTCTTGAATAACTTATGAATGCATATAAAACTTCATGGAATGTTGAAGAAATTTGGGTGTTATGTATCTAACAGCTATTTTGGCTTTCAAGAATAATCTGAGAATTAGCTTTTGGGAGGCTTATATAGCAGAAAAAAACCCAAACCCAAAAGCTGCTCATACACTGAAATTCCTCCTGAGCTCCCAAGAGCAGCTCTTTGAAGATGCCCCTCTGTAGGCATGTGAGAAATTGACCTTGGACTGCCAAATCACAAACTGAGCTCCATATTATGTGAAACCAACCAGTCCCTTAAAAATGTCAACATGTATTTTTTTACGTCATTTTATTTGTCAACCACTGAAAGAAAAAAAGGAGTATACACAAGTCAAATACACAGGCAATGCACTAGAAACAAGACAAGTTACAGAAGATTCAAAAATAAATTTAAAATATTGCCAAGTAATCTCATGAAGAATAACCTTCTCACTCCTCCATTACAAGTTTAGTAGATTCAAATGATGCCACCTCAGAGGAAAGGCACCACGAGACCACTTTCCCTCGTGCACACCAAGTGCAACACAGAGCAGCTCACCAGGAAGAGCTGTCCCGTATCTGACCTTGAGAACAAAGGGACTTCATTTCCCCCCCCGTGACAAACTCATCACACCCCAGTGCAGGGTCAGTGCACCTTCCATGTGAGGTGAGCCAGACTGCAGGTCCCTGAGGATAATCCCTGCTGCAGTGCCCAGACCACTGAGGGCACTGCCTGCAAACTGTCTCTGCCTGATGGGATCTACAGAGGCCATGGATTTCAAAGAACTGTGTCCAACACCTTTTGGCAGTATTCAATTCAAAGGAAAAATTCAATAAAGCAATTAACACCAGAAGGACAATGTCAGAATTACCATACACTCATCAATCCTTCTAGTCCTATATGAAAACCCCTCCAGATTTAAGAAGCAAACAAGTTCTCTGTGCTGATTCCTGAGAACTTTTAAGGCAACATAATACTGCAATTAAAGCACATGAACTTTAAATGTTCTTATTTATTTTTAATTAGAAAGCCCCTTCAATTACACAAATCTTCATTCTTTCAAATTAATATCAACAGCCTGAGTCCTGATCCTGAGAACTGATTCATTTAATTGGCATTCCTCCCATACACTGTTGACTTGTGCAAGTATTTGCAAGATTCAGCCCTGAACTCACTACACAATTTACAGCTACGTTCTCCATTTGTGAACAAACTTAACCTCTGAAGTCAGTAACACTTTGTTCTGTCATGTGCTATCATATTCTCTTAATTAAATGTGTAGCAAAACACATTTACATATGTTAATCCACAGACAGGTGTGTATGCCAGGAAGAAGCAAGGAAGAGCTACCTGAAACCATGGCAACCTGGAAACAAGGAAAGGGAACACTGCACAGTGGGGCATGGTTATCCTCAAGATAAATACTAACACTAAACATTTAGGCTGTTTTCTACAGAATTATTTTCATGAACCTTGACCACTTTTGCAGCACCTCACATAAGGATCTAGAGGTACCTATTAATAAAATGAGGAGGGAGGAAACCTCTTCCATGTCAACAATGTCAAGATACCACCTTAAATACTATGTTGGGTGGAGGTGAACAGGAGACTGCACTAAAGATCACTCTTGCTGGTTTCTTGGAAAAAGGGAACAGTTGTTTCAAAGCAAATGCTACTGAGGACAAAGAAAAGAATGCTACCCAGTTGCAGCAGGAAATGTACCCTCTAATAGCCAAAAAGTAGCCTGACTTTTCCAAGAACACTACAATTGATATCCATATTCTTTAAGCATGGATCTGCTTTAAACACAGCCCAAGAGGTAGCACTGACTGCAGCAGGACAGAAACTTTCTTTGTGTTCTCCTAGGTCATCACAGTCAATTACACAGGCAAAGACTGCACCTGAGTTGCAAAAGAAGCATTTTGGTATCTTCTGAATGTTTCTTATCAAGTGCAGCCTCTGAAAGACCCCTTGTTGCTTCAAAACAAAGCCCAGAAAAGCAGGGAGCACAAATATGTACGTGATTAAGAGACTTCTGTATCTATTAATATTAAACTAGGCAGGGGATTAATAAAATTACATTCAAGACACATACACCAGAAAAATGCACAATGGACAAAAAGTAAACTATTTGTTACACCATGACATACAGAAGTTGTTTGTAAATTCTCAGGAAGAATTAAGGGGCAAACATCTCTTGTTCATTTGTTAATCACTAAACACAACAGGTAAGGAACATTTTCACTGAGAACACTTTTTTGTATTTGTGTGTCCTGTAAGTCAAGACAAGCAGGTTGCAGTGACGTCAGCAGGCCATAACTCTGAAATTCATAAAAAGGAAATATACTTTTGTATCATCAGAAAGTTTGGAATTAACAGCACTAAGAGATTAAAACGTAGTTATAAGAGATTCCAATCAAAGGTAGAAGTAACTGAAAAAAAAAAAAAAATCAGCATCAGTAGTTAAACCAACTATATTAAAAATCCACCCATGCTCATCTTTCAGGCACAGCCATGGAAAAACCCTCTCCTAATTGAAGGTCTGTTGCTGCTGCTGCTCCCTAAAACAGTTTTCAGACTAATACCCCAATGTAGAAACATGGCATAAGGACAATGAGTGGAGAACAGTTGATGGCACACCTGGGATTGCCACTAAAGCACAGGCTGGATAAGGTTAGAGAGAAGAAAAGTTGCTTCTCTCTCGTATTCATTGTAACACCCCCATGAAGACCTCGGGGAATGGAAAGAAAATTAATTTCTTGTGCTCCACCCTGGTGCTGTGAGGTGTTTGTACAAGCTCAGGGTTCTTGAAAATGGAAGTCATTTCAGGGGAGTTCAGTTCTCAAGTACTGGAACACTCCAGTCTTGAAAGTCAGCCAGTTGTTCTGTGGATCAAGAAGTGACATCTCTAATACACCATTAACATTCCTCCACGGTATCTTCAGCTTTTGTTCACAGTTTCCTTGGTTTACATCCCATGGCCTACATTCACTTCATGAAAACAAGTCCAATATGTCAGCATTCTTCTTTTGCTTTCTGTTCCCTCTCCTCGTCATGTATAAGGAGACAGCCAAAAAGAAGTGCCAGGTCAGGATTTACTACTTCAAAATACAATTTCTAACAAAAGCTGAAACTCATGTTTCTAATGCAGACTACCTTATTCCTTGGAATGTTTTGGGTAATGTTCTATAAAAAACTGATCACACGCAACTGAGGAAATACTAGTTTCTTCACAAATTTCTATCTTTAAGCAAATTCTTTTGCAATTACTATAAAACATACGCAACTTGAAATAATTTTTTAAATGGTACGAAGTTACAGATGGAGGCAGAAAATAAAAGACTAAATTTTAGTAGATATGATATGCAAGCAGTGTTTCAGTCAAACCATTCCCCTGGTTTCACCCCAGCAGCACAGCTGTATTGCTTGAACAGCACTCTGCCTTCTCTGCAGCAGTGCCTGCAGTGCTGGGAAGCTGCTGCTCTGGAGGCCACCCATGTCACACCCTCACCATGCCCTGCCATGATCCTCTGGCCAGGGCCAAATGAGTCCAGTTTGGGAACAGAAGGGCCCCGTCAGCCCCCTCCTCTTTCTGCCTGCTGGCAGAGGCGGCTCTGAGGGCAGAGCCTTCAGCAGCTGCCCTGCTGCCACCTGATCTGCAGGGAAGGGCAGCAGCCCATGGAGACAAGGACCCAGTGCTCCCACGGGCCTGATCCAGTCCCTGTGTGTGGGAACACCCACGGGACCTCAAGCCCTGCGAGCTCTCCACTGCTCACACGAGTTCAGGAACTCACTGCAACAGGCAAGGCAAGAACTTCCGACTCCTCAGAAATGGGGCTCTATGGAGTTTATTGCTCAAAGCACTTTATAATCCTTCAATGAAATGTGCTATGAAGTGCAAAGTACTATTGCTAAGTCAAACTAAGATTCTTTTTCTTTTTTAAAAATACCTAGGAATTTCTCAGTGTTTCCCTAATAAATCAGTTATTTATAAAAATAAATACTGGGAGGACAAAAGGGACAATTCCCCCACAATTTTAGTAAACAAGTTTCATTTTTCCATGCTAAAATCTCTATTATCTTTCCAAAATATATCAAAACACCTAAGAGAAATTGAGGGTGCATCAGAGCTGCTTACCACTCATCTACTTTATTGCCACAGCTAATGTATCACCAGAACTTCTAAATTTCACAGGTTTTTCTGAGAGGCCATATATCAGAAAGAGAATTTGGCAAAGACTTTGTGAAGAACAGTTTTCTAATAGTCAGCAATGACCCTTCGATAAATTTAAGGGGAAAATACTTGGATTTTTTCCGTCTTTGATATTTTTAAACTTAAACCAGGTACCGGCCACATTTTGTCCCTCCCATTTCTACTGTGTTTCCAGTTTCATGTACTCAGACCAATGACACATTTCAAAAGCTGGTGTACAACATCTTTATATACACTACAAATTCAGACTACCAGACTGAAGTCAGACATTGAATGTATAAATAACTTTGCAAACTATTTACACGTTTTAAACTAATCAGGTTTCAAGCAACCAACACTCTTAAGGCAAATTCATTTGTATGACTGGCTGTCTGGCGTCTCAGCATTTCTGTCCCCTCCCCAATTCCCCTAAAACGACAGGCAAATAGGAAATTGAATTACCCCCTGCCCCTGTACTGACAGAATTTCCAGTAAGGAGAGATGATCTAACTACTTAGGAGCTTTCCTCAAAACAAGGAAAAATGCATAGAAATGCATTTCTGTGTCAAGAAAATCATTAAGGTGCATACTAAGAAGTGGAAGTCCTACCGTCTTATAACAACACAACTTTTGTATGCACATGACAAATGGGTTTGGGAATTCGGAGAAAGCATCAGTTTAAAGCTGTACAACCCTTTTTAGAACTATGCATTTATAAATTCACTAGAGATCTGAAGAGCTCAAAGGGATTTTCTCTTAGGGGTGACACTGTGCAATACAAAATGCTGCATGAAGCACACGTTTAACTACATTAGAATTTTTCTCTTACACCATATTGCTGTGCAAAATACTATTCACCACTTTAAGGGATTCTGCACACCGTATCAATCCTTAGGTTGGAATAAGAATTGGCCACTTCAAATAGTATCTTTTTGTTACAACATTGTGTTCCTAAGTGCAATCACAGTGCCATCCCTTTTGTCAATGCATGACTGAAGCAACCAAGCGTATTCTGGTGAAGTACACAGGATTCACATACCAAACGTGCTCAGTGCCTTCCTGTAAGTCCCAATCATCACTTTGTTCTTAGTATTTTTCAATGCCCTGATTAGGTCTTTGTTTGGAAGTAATTAGCTACTGTGGTTTGAGGGATTTTGGAACAAAGCAGAGACTTTATACTGAATGCAGAGGTCATCTCCAACAGAGACAAAGGTGGCAAATTATCGATTAGCTTTGTATTTAGAAGCATCCCTTGGTTCACTGCTAGGATTGCTCCAGTCGTCTGCTTCAGGTGTGGTCTTGTAGTGCCTCCATGCTGACTTATTAAAAACAGGAAGTCTTTCAAATGATTCACTTGAAAGGGCCTATGGGAAAACAAAAGCAATAATTAGGTATCACTGAAGATACAAGAGCAAAGTGATACTCTGGGGAGTTCTACAGTTACAACTTCTGTACCCAACAAGTGTCACAGTTATCTCAGTGTTACACCTCACAGCACTACTTTGAAAACACTTGAGCTGTGACTTGTAGCTCTAGTCATACTCAAAGTCCCAGTCAAAGTTAAAATAATAGCATTGAAAAATATTTCCATTCTTTCCAGGGAGTGGTGTCTACACCGATAGCAAGAAAAAGATTTTTGGTCAGAAACATTTTAGTGAGATTTGTCATGACATAGAGCAGACAGCTACTCCAACATTTCCCCTCCCCAATGCATTTGGGCTCTGCCAGCACACTGACCTGTGGGGGCTGACCCAGTTCAGTGCCCTGGGCCACCCTTTTCCTCTGAAAAAGACCAGACCATTTTCCTCCACACATACATGCAGAGAGTGAAACCTTGCTATATACAGCAAGGCACAGTGACAGTGCAAAGCCAACAACCTGCACGAGCTATACACTCCATTCTTTTAAACTCCCTGATGGAATTCAAGCAGTGTCAACCTTTAGCCCCTGAGTAGCCCGGGATCTCCCACAAAATGACAACAGGATCAATAGTCTGTTGCATCAAGAATTGCATAGAATAGAACATATTTACTAGTCAGGAGTTGGCCATTAGTCTTCTCATTTCTATTATGGCCAAAACTTAGAATCAAAAAGCATTAGCCAAAATGATCTCTTATCATAGTTCTTGGAAGATCCACCACGTATGGTAGATTAATAAAGTGCAACAATCCAACACAGGGACTGAAAAAAAATCAAAGCAAACAAACTAGTATTCGTGCCAGATTAACATATATAACCTTAGAGTTTAGGATTTTATATAACTGATTTAGGTAAAAGTGTCAAAGATAGCAAAAAGAAATTTGAAAACAAGCTGAAGAGTGAAAAGAACCTGCTACAAACAACCTGCACTGCATTACTAGTTTATAAAAAGGTGAAATTCATACCTTCAAATAAATAACAGCATCTGAACCCACGCCTTCCATTGAGTAGAGTTTAAGGTCACCTTGAAAGTACCTTGCATACAGACGAGAAATTGGCAATCCATAGCCAAACCCAGCCTGCAAAAACAAGAAAACAAAAGGAAAACCATGATGAAAAGTTTAAAAGGTGCAACAGATCTTTGTATTAATTTGCAAAAGAGAGGATACCTAAAGCATTCCTGAAGCATTCCTTTATTTCGCAGCTTATACTCTAAGTCCATATTCAGCCTTTTGAGCAAGCTACTTTTTCCCTGTGCATTAGTTTTTAGTACAAAAAGGGCTGAGTCCTTTGCTAGAACTCTCTTGTCCATTTACATTTCCTCAGGGAGGTGCAGCATACCACATCTGCTGCCTGCAACCAGCAAAACAAACCAATGCTCTACACAACTTCCTCACTGTGATCACCATTGCTACAGTATTGCATTCTTTCTTTGGTAAAAATCAGAGTTTTGACAGCACATTTTTTCTCCCCCAAGCCTGTGATTATTATCGCAAATGTCTCCACACTCAGGAGACTACACAAGAAAGCCAGAGATAACTCTTGTCTGCTTCATCTATGTCACACTATTAAGTGACTGCTGATGCCACTGTGCCATAGAGTCCTTCAGAAGAACACACAGACAAGGCAAAATGATAAAAAAATTGAAAAATGGTAAGGCAAATTATCCTCTCTGTTTAACAAAAGACCAGGTTTCCACAGCACTGAATGATCTCCTGAGGACTGAGACACAGTACGGTCCAACACAATTTTGAAAGCAAAATGAACTTGATGGGTACAAAGTTCAGATTTTAAATTGACAAAACTAATATTTGTAACCATGCCTGCAACAAGATCAATCAGTTGGCAACTCTTCCAACCCTCCCTTGTCAGAAAAGTTGTAAGAAAATCCTCCAAGTCTCTCTCACTGGAGCCAGGGAATAAGATTTTGCTCAAAAAATGACTCTTTCAGATGACTGGCTATGTGTTGAGAACCACAGTGGTTTGTTATGCACCCAAATCCCACCTGAATTTTTCAGGACTATCCAGTGCAATAAAGGAATTATTCCAAACACACAAGCATTTGGAAAAAAAAACTGCAAATATATACAAGGCAAGGTAGTATGGGTGGACTACGAGAAAGATAAGACACTTGAAGCTTTCAGAAAACCAATAAATTTGTTCCAACATAATATTTCTACAAAAGCAATCTGACAGAACAGTGATAAACATGCCCTGAATTCTATAAACAAAAGCCTAAAATGATACAAAAATGAGAATGCTAAGAAGGATTCGCAAGCATTATATACAGTTAATATGTGGTATCACTTATAAAAAATCCCTTGAGGGAGAAGTGAACATTAAAGAACTTGTACTACAGTGTCCATCACAAATTCTCTTGCTGTCTCCTATTGTCTACTACAATATCTTTTGGCCTTTTCTGCCTTGTTTTTACAGAATTCTAAATTTACTATTAGATTGGTTTACAGTTGCTCACTCCATTCTTCTGAACAAAATGAGAAACAGAAATGCCAAATATGCCTTTTTCAGGCCGCTTGTCATAGTCCTGAGTGTCCATTAACAGAGTTAAAGCAGTTGCTTAGCTGCACTTTTCCCAACGTCATGTTTTACATTGCTCAAAGAGAAATTTCCTCTCCCACTAGACACATATGCCTCACTTCCAAACACCTGGCCTTGAAACTTGAGACTTTTTTCTTAACCTCTAAAAATTTGATTTGACTGTCTTAGAAAGAACTAAAAAAATATCAAAAGCTGACTTTGTTTTCTGGAGACTGGACAATAAATAGATTACAGAAATTATAAAGCACAGTGACTAAAAGGGAACTTGTGGACAGTCCATACCTCAAGGCCCAGCTCAAGTAAAGGGCAATATCAAATAATACTGAAAACATTTTATACTTTCCTCACTCCAGAACCACCCCTCCTTAAAACTCAGCTTCTGTTTGGCTCTTGTTCCTTTATGATCTGTGCTAGCCCACATCGTTATTTCATATAACCTTCTTTCAAGCATTTCCTGTCAGCCTCTCTGGGCACTGCCTTTTAGGGTGCTTTCCAAACCAGGTAACTTACAAGAAATACAGAGACAAGACACCCCAGATGAGCATCTTGTTAAATGCTTGCCTTGAAAAGCTTCTATTTTGCAAAAGATAATTAACAGGAGGTGTTTACTACATAGATCTGTATTTGACCTAGAGGACAGAATAGTCCAAGATTGCACATGTGCCTTGAGAAAGGAAAAGCTCCTTAGAGCAAATTTATCATTAAATGTTAGGGTATGCATTAAACAAATAGGAAGTTATTACATTTCTGTGTTATTAGCATCAACAGATTTAAATTAAAACTAATTTAAGCCACGTTTCTCCTGTTATAAACAAATGCTGTCAGAGAAAACCATTAAATTCCCTAAGAAAACCTACTATCATTAAACATGACCATGTGTTTTAATGTGTACTCTATGTGCAGTGCAGATGAACCTAAGACCTGCTAGAATCTGAATGCTGCCATGGTAACAAACTTTCTCAGCAGGATTTAAACAACATTTGCAATGAGAGGCAGCAAAAATTTTCCCCAATCAACAGAAGCATAACTCTCTTCCACTGCCCAATCCCATGAATGTTTCATAAACTAGACAGGGGATCATATAACAAGGGGAAGAAATGCTAGAACAGAAAAATATGTCTATTTACACTGCACCTCAGCTTAGCTTAGAATATTACCTAAGTCAGGGATGACACACTACCAACCTTCTGCAGCACTGTAATTCTTTAGTGGTTTCATCTTCGGCACTAAACAATAAAGAAATTCCTTCTGTATGGACAACAAAGAGGATTTATATGGAACCTTTCTGCTGAAGGATTTTTATTTCCAGACCGACATACAAAGCATTTAATAATTGTTTTTACAACTGGATCTGGGCCTTAATACGTAACTTGTCAAACTTCACTGCTAAGTCCTTCTTCCTCTTAGAGGCAAGATATGGCACAGACTCCCAGTTTGACATTTTTCTTTTTGCACACACATATAAAAAACAGAGCTGAACAGCTTTTCTCAGCATTCAGTCTTGTGCAGGCATTGGTCAGGCTCACAGGGCAAAAGCTGCCAGACTCACAAAAGAGGGGAATCCTTTGTAGGTTTGAATACAGTAGCATAGACTGGGAAAGGAAAATAAAGCCTGAAAATGGGATACAGAAGAAGAATCCCAAGGATAAATGCCATAGAATCAAAGTAAGCAGTTCTGAAGATGAGGAAATAAACATAACAACACATTGCTAAAGATGCACTGGCAAAAGAAAAAAGTATAGTGGCAGTCCTAAGATGAACACATTTTACAATCAGAGCTACAAAGGAAGAGACAGTTTAATAGTGAATACAACTGGTAATCAAGGTATAAGTTTATCCTGAGAACAAGTTTCAGGAACTCCTTGTAGTCTGATACAGTAAATTGCTGATCAAAAGTGAGACAGAACGAGGATAGATTATACATCAAGAGAGATTCTACCATTTGTGAAAAAGAAAAAAGCTTGTATGTGAATTAAGGCCTGTTCCCTCTCACTCATCACATTCAAGAAGATTTTCTACGAAAAAGAAGAAGTTTGAAACATAAGACTCAGATGTGCTGTAGAGGTAGGAGCTGTGAAGGATCAGTACCAAGTCAGTGCAGACACAGGACTGGGCTTCACACCTCCCACAGTGCAAAGGGGTAAACCCAGGGCAATGCACTGCCATGCCACAATGGTACCCACTGTGGACCAAAGCAGCACCATGAAGACTTTCTGCTTAGAAGCTAAGAGGAAATTTATTACCTCTGAGTCACTCTGATTTTACCCTTAGTTTACTTAGTTAAATATTTTATATCCAAAACAGTCATGTGGACAAGAGGGAACAGCCCCAAGCTGTGCCAGGTTGGACATCAGGAAGAACCTCTTCAACTGCAAGGTTTGTCAAGAATTGAAACTGGCTGGTCAGGGAAGTACTGGAGTCAGTCACCATCCCTGGAAGCGATCAGGAACAACTGGACATGGCACTTTGCTGTGGTTTAATCCACATGGAGGTGTTTGGTCAAAGGTTGGACTTGATCTTGGGAAGTCATTTCCACTCTTAATGGTCCTGTGATTCCATGCTCTGCCCCACATCCTATTATCCATCTGAAGGCACTTGAAGCACAGCAGTATCAGTAGGGGAGAAAAAAACCCAGCCACTTAGGAACATGCTAGATGAGAATGCTCCTAAGCAGGGAAAGGAAATTTCTTAGAGAACCAAATTCTCAACAGGCTTAGAGATAAAGGATTGCATCAGAAGCAACAGAGATGAGAAGAGGCAAAATACAGTATCTGTATTAATCCACTTACTGAAAACCAGTCAAGTGGAACAGTAGCTATACAATTTTTATCACAATGAGCCAATAGGCAATTTAATAAAACAATTTTGAAATACTATTTTAATTTTTTTTAAAATCATGCTTGCTGAAAGAATCTATACATTCAACACTGAAATAATTTCCCTGCCTAAATGAAAATATGGGGAATTATTTTTGTTTGAAATATGGTGCATCTCAGAAAGGAGTATCACATAAGATATTCCCAATTAAATAGGAATATACCAAATATGTTCATACCACATGCAGGTTCAGGAACGTATTTTGATGTGTTTTTCAATCCATAACTTACAGTAAAATGATCTTCAAGTCTCAGTATAAGCTTGTGCAATGCCAGAAGGTGGTTCTCAAGTGCTGAGCAGCGTGGCCCAGCTTTTTAATACATTTATGATAGGAAACTTAGATTAACAGTAATTTATACACCAAAGAGGAGCTCATTAGGTCATTCATCTGCTCAGTAATACAGCACTAAAGATCCTGCCCATTAACCTGTGAAAACACTGTGCTTATGCAGGTTTTTTATGCTTGTTACCAAGAATGTAATTTTCTATTCTGTAGACTAAGTGATGATAACAGAATTCATTTTCTCCTGTTCTACCTGGATAGACTTGCTAATGATAAATCATTTCCTCAATGGAAAATCTGATCCAGCAGATTGCAGTGAAGAGAAATGTAAAATCAGAGTGGTGCAAAGGGACATTTAAATACATATTTCAATTGCTTACCAAAGGCACAGCCCTCGAGGGCTCCAGACTGGGCCTGGGTGCTGTTGAGTACATGTAGTTAAACAATCTGTCTATTTTTCTTAAAGGTACACCTCCACCTTGGTCACTTATCTAAGGAATGAAAATTGAAGAGTTTTAAACATTAGGTTCTGAAAAACAACCCCCACAAAATATCAAGAAGCATTATCTAAATTACTTTAGAAATATTAAAGGAGCAGTTAGGCTGTCTGCTTTGGAGAAAAGAAGGCTGGAAGTGACCTTGCCATGGTCTCCAGCTTCCTGAGGAGGGAACTGGGGAGGGAGGTGCTGATCTCATCTCCCTGGATCCAGTGATGAGACATGTGGGAACAGTTCAAAGTTGCAACATCAGGGGAGGTTTAGAGTGGACAACAAGAAGCAATTCTGTATGGGAAGGGTGGTGAAAGAGCAGAAGAGGTTTCCTGGAGAGATGGCCAATGGCCAAGATGCATTTGCACACTCCCCCTCACAAACATGCTTTGACTACTGGTCAGCCCTGAAGTGGTCAGGCAGTTGGGTAAGACGTTCCTTGTAGGTCCTTCCCAAATGAAAATATTCTGTTCTAATGAATATGAAGCAGGTGATACAATAATTAATTTGCTTTTTCAAATTAAAAGTCAAACTACTCTAAACCTAGCAGGTTTGCAAGCTGTGTATTATTTTTAGGCATTTACCTTAATAGATAGATCTTCTTTCCCCAAAGTGACTAAGGTTTTGATCGATGGACAGGCTTCTTTCTTACCTTCATGCAATTCCACTGTAGCTCTCATTGAATTCTGAAGATTAAAGAAAATACAGTCTCTTTGATTCTAAGTTTAACATATAAGCTTTTTATGACAAATTATAACTTGAATTTGTTTTGTAGCATCTACTCTGTCCTACAGTTGCGTACAAGATAGAAAAGGCTGTATTTAACACAAATTTAAGTGCCATCAAGTCAATGAATTCCCCAGTAAATTTTTACATTACAACTTGTTATATATAACTTTTATTCATTTGATATAGTCAGAGAAAAGAAAGCAAGATTTTTTTTTCTCCTCGTGTGAAATTAAGTAAATATATCTTCAGAATGAAAACATCCTTCACCTCCATCATGCACCACACCAGCAGTGATGTTCACCACAGAAAGCTAGTTTTCATTTTCTCAGCCTGGGTCACAATTTATAAGTTATCATATGCCAATCTGACTTCATGTTAACAGAGCTCCCACTGCCAGTCCCTCCCAGTTCTTTACAGCTACAACTTACTGGCTTCAGCCTGTTTCATGACTTGTACTCAAAAAATACTTACATGTACTATACAGATTCTCATCTGTTCTGCCACAAAACTAATGTTACAAATGGCAAAATGGGAGAAGACTTAAATAAACATAATTGACAAATGTCAGAAATCAAACCCCAAAAAATGTTACTTTGAAAAAGTTTCTCTCTGGCCAAATACAAGGTTTCCCCTCAACTTCTGGTCTTCAGCTGCACCAGTTCAGAGACCTCCTCTCTCATTTCAAACCATGTAACAGCGCTCACATGTTCCATTTTCACTCTTGTTCCAATTATTCAGAAAACACAAAATCAAAACAAAGAATATCATCTACACTATTCAAAGATACAGGGTCTGTTTTCACAATAAAGACACTGATCCTAACCAGTCCTCAAATATGCAATAAAGAAGCAAGCTCATAAAAACTGCAAGACTATGAATATTCTGTAACTGCCAAAGTAGAATATCATGAGTGTTCTAAGTTAAACAAAAAGGTACAAAAGCACAACAGAAGTGGGAAACCAGGCAGTTTTTAAGTACACAAGGTCATAAGAGAGAGAGTTGAAGTCTGGCTTTTAAACCAGCAAAGAGTGTTTGAAACTTAAAATAAGTTTAAGAAAGGAAAACTGAAAAACCATTTAAGAGCTGTAAGTGAAAGGAATCTCATTTTCAACAGTGATAGAGTCACAAAACTCTCCCAAATATTAACAAGTGCAACCTACCTTGAATAATTCAAATAACATATGAAACAAATGAGAAGGTACATAGACTACTTGAATAGGCTTGTTTGGAGCTTTAGCTAAAAAAAGAAATAAAGATGTCAGATTATTTTTCTTCAAAACAGTATTTTGTATCATTGCCCTTTACTAGAATAACATGAACATGTAGGCACAGACAAGTATGTAACCATGTTTTAATTTTCCTATGAAAATTAGTTCCATGACGTAAAACCAAATTTTAGTCACTAGCTTTCTGCTAGTCACCAGAAAGAACACATTATAATTATGATCTTCAAATCCATCCAGTCAGCAGACTTTGTTTAAATATGAAGCTTCACTAAGCAGTGGCAGGTTTCATAAAACAGTGTATGTTAACCAAGAAAACTTTCCTACTTACGTGGGTAACTTTCACATGCTCATATACTATTTAAGCATAATATTTGCTGCACAAAAAGATTCCTAAAGAAAAACTCACTGTTTAAATGTTCTAAAAACTACTACATATTCCCCCTTCATTAAAACACACAAAATGTAAGTATTCATAAAAATTTTCAAATATACTTCAAACAATATCATAGCTTCCATATTCCAAACCACCACTGAATTGTTTGTCCTCTGCTGTCCCACTGTGAGTGTTTCAGCAGAGGGGTATGGCTTGGCACAGCTCTGAATGCCAGAGTGCTCATTGATTGCTTGGGCAGGAAATAATACAGCTGCATTTAATACATTCCAGGACAGTTCTAGTGCTGAAGATGAAGTCATCCCTGAAAATTCAAGTATCTACTGGCATTAAATTATGCAGTGACAGAGAGTCAGACTGAGCAGCAGTTCAGACTGAAGGGAAGTCTCAAATTGTCTCTTCATAAATTCCAGGAAGATATAAATATGCACAAAGAACATGACTGGAATCAACTTAATTCTTTTTGGCACTGAGGGCTGGTAATAATACCAGTCATTATTTTCAGAGACATGGTAGTGAAAACTCCTTGGAAAAGGAGAAGACCAAAGCAATGCTCTGCAAGGCAACTTGATATTTTATTTTATTAACTTTGTCTGTTCATACTCCCATTCCCTTATGCCTCACCTAAACCAAGGCAAACTGATTCACACTTGTTTGAGACAGAGATAGAAAATGAGTTATTGTTGCTCTTGTGAGGTAATTTTTGCTTTCCTCATATTGATAATAAGCTGATTTAAAGGAAACAGGTAATTCTTTATTCACTTTTTTTTCAGCTCCAGCAACTTGCTTTCTCTACTGCTGGATCTTTTTACTTATGCCTTCAGATGAATTTTGCATTGATTGATTCCTCTGCTGCAACACTCAGTACTTTTATCTCTAGAATCACTCGGTTTAAAAGGGGAAGGTCAGGTCCTTTGGATTTGGTAGAGATGGGTGGCAATGCATCATTGCTGACAGTATCACCTTGTGTAGAGAAATATTTTTACACTACTCAGTAGTACTTTGAACAATGCACTCCATTTATCACACTCTCCCATTGAGTGTTACTTATTTCTGAGACTTTTGCAATTCTTCTGCTGAGATTTGGAACCATCTTAGTCTTACGTTTGGCTGCTGTCCAAAATCTGAGAGAGGATCACTCAGGAAATTTTTTTAACTTAAAAAAAAAAAAGCTCCCTTTTGTCAATAAAATAATGAACAAAAAGCAGTCAATATGCTGACAAGGCCTGTCTCATCAGTTTTGTGTCATCCAATTTTCATCTCTGCAATCAACTTGAAACAGATTTACAGATTTTCATGTGAGAAGTTTACGTTAGGACTTAAAACAGACTACTTAATAAAAATTCCAATTTTGCCATCTTACACAGAAGGGCTCACCACTCTGCTGAGAGTGCCAGTGGAATTCACGGGTTTATAAACACACTTCAGAATGAAACAAGTTTCAGTTCTGTTAGAAGATTAAGAAGGCAGGCATGTTTCCTTCTCAGTTATGAGGAGTCTTGGTTTATTTTTTTTAAAGTGATAGTGAATTTAGGAGATAGAACTCTTCCTTCAGCATAAAGAAGGAAACATCATGATGATAAACTAATAATTCAGATACCAGAAATTAATTTTCTTACATACATCAGTTAAATTGATTTCATAATTACCATTGAATTCTTCAACTTCCAGATCAGGTGCCATTGTATAGTACTGTTCACATAACATTTTAGCTGTTTCATAAGCATCTACAAAACAACAGAAAAAACACTAATTTATGAAAATCTTCTAGCAATGATCAGCAGTGTTCATCCTTCCTGTAAAAGACCACAAACAGAACACTCACTTTGAGCACTAGTTTACAAGCATGAAGCTGGTATTCAATCTAATCCTTTTTTCTCTGTACACTCATAGCCCAGTTGAAAGGGAAAACTCTATCTAAAGCTCTACAAAGAAAAGCACAGTACTGGAGAGAAGCTATTTTTCTTCTTTGTTCAGGGTTTGAAAAACGGAAGGATATAATCTTAGGCTGACCATAAAACCTACTTGGTTTTATTTCATGATCACAATTTAATACTCGTTCTTTCCATCTCCAATAAAAAAGGATGACATTGCAGTCGTAAATTCAGGTTTCTCAAACACAATACTGTTTATAATACTTAATTTTCAAGATCTTTTGGGGGAAAAGCTGGATAAGATTCTTAATTCCTTCCCATTGAACCAAAAATTACTCCCCCTGAAAATACTTCCCCATAGCCCAAATCACGTAGTGTTGAAACACAGGTAGAAAGTTTAAGTTACCCTTTGTCACTAGTGGTGGCCCCCAAGGTTCAACACTGGGCCCAGTATTGTTTAACTCATTCATCAGTGACTTGGAGGAAGGGGCAGAGGCTCCTCAGTGAGTTCACTGATGGCACAGAGCTGGGAGGAGTGGCTGAAACTCCCAGAGCTGTGCAGCCCTTCAGAAGGGCTTGACAGGCTGGAGAAATGGGCAGAGGAATGGTCTGGAATTCAGCAAAGGCAAATGCAGGGTCCTGCCCTGGGGAAGGACAACCCCAGGCACCTGCACAGGCTGGGGCCAACCTGCTGGAAAGCAGCTCTGCAGAGAAGGGCCTGGGGGTCCTGGTGGACAATGAGCTGTCCATGAGCCAGCAGTGCCCTGGGGGCCAGGAGGGCCCGGGGATCCTGGGGGCATCAGGGAGAGCATTGCCAGCAGGGCAGGGAGGGGATCCTGCCCCTCCACTCAGCCCCACTGAGCTGTGTCTGCAGTGCTGTGTCCAGTTCTGGGCTCCTCAGGACAAGAGAGACATGGAGACACTGGAGTGGGTCCAGTGGAACACTGGAATATGATTAAGGGACTGGAGCATCTCTCTAACGAGAAGAGACTGAGGGAATTGGGCCTGTTCAGCCCTGAGAAGAGAAAACAGAGCAGGGAGCTCATCAACACCTAAGAATATCTGAGGAGATGCCAAGAGGATGGAGCCTTTTGGAGGGATCCTTTCTGTGATGCTGAGCAATAGGACCAGAGGCAGGAATTGATGCACAGAAGTTCCACCTGAACATGAGAAAGAATTTCTTCCCTGTGCAGTGACTGAGCACTGGCACAGATTGCCCAGAGAGGGTGTGGAGTCTCCTTCACTGGAGATGTTCAAGAACCATCTGGACACAACCCTGTGCCATGTGCTCTGGGATGGCCCTGCTTGAGCAGGGAGGGAGGCTGGATCACATGACTCGCTGTGCTCCCTTCCAACCTGACCCATTCTGCAATTCTGTATTTGAAAGATTTCTTACTGGTTTCTTAGCAAATCTGGGTCAAACAGTCTGAGTGCCATCTAATATTTCATCTTCCTCTAAAAGTCGACTCTTTGGCAGAGTCCTAAGACTGTGAAAGAGACTGTGAAGTTCAAAGCATGCTTCACGGTGTGGATGGAGATTAAGTAGCAATAACAGTGAGGGATATATTGGTAAATGCAAAATCCTGACTCCAGGAAAAAATGTGAATTCGCTGTCAGCTCAGAAGTCTTATGCAGGACAGCTGGCAAGACAGAGACAGCCACCTCAGGCAGCACAGACACAACACTTGGTGTAGCTGCTTGAAGGAAGAAGTGGCTGTTTAAAACATTTCTTCATTGTTTGAAGGGCATACAGGGCTTATAGCTGCGACATACAGTACCAAAATCAACATTTTTAACTGATAAACTGCTCAGAATGCTGCCTGTGAACCAGACCATTTGGGAGCTAGGACAGCATCCAGAACATAAATTAACCCCTCCACCAATTCTACAAGGAAAAGGCCTCAATCACCTTGACTCCTTGACAGGACTATACAGTCCCTGTCTTTAAGGACATTTTGTTTCTTTGAAAGGCAACACTGGACACTGCTTGCTATGCCCTTGTTTGGTCAGTGTTGTGTACAATCTATTTTAGCTACTTGCTCGAAAACTGGACTTAGCACCTTCTGACACTATGCACTCCCCTGTCCAAGGCAGCAACTGTGAATCTGATGATCAAAATTCATTCAAATATTGCTATTAGAAGGCAAAGCTAAATAAACAACATAGCTGTAACATATAAAATGCTGAGATCAAAGTGGAGTAAGGTCAATCAAAAGAAAAAAAAGCTGCTGAAAAAGGCCACCTTAGGAGCCAAGATGAGCTAGAAAAAAAACTGTAAGAGAGCTGTAAAAATCATTACAAAGTGAGCTATCATACAGGTCAGACTTAAGAGATAAGAAAGGCTTCTCTCTCTCTTCACCAAAGGCTGAGAGAAAGTGAAGGGGAGAAGCACATTCTTCCCACCCTTCGCAGCTGCACAAACAGCAGCCAAGGACACAGCCTGGAATGCTCTCTTACAGCAAGACCTGCATCTGCAAATAGACACACCCAGACTGTGAACCTTCGATGGAGTTCTTGAAGCAGCCAGCATTGCCTCATGCCTCCTTGCTAACATTCTGAAAGCATGAAAACCTTCACAACACACAGCAAACAGGACTTCCAGTGTGACTGTGCCAGATCAGTCAGGTACAACCATCACATCCATGCCTTCTGCAGGAGACAGAACAAGCTGTGGTACGATCAGATGACAGAGTCAAGTGGAGTTTCACTGGGATATCTGTACACCTGAGCACATTTTACTGAAAGGCCTAGCTAAACAAAACTAAGCAAAACGGAAATTTCACTTACTCTCAGTTTTCTGTAATACCAGCATGTGATACAAATGCAGGACATGAGAACCTCTAAGTATTTCACAAAGAAAATATCTGAAGTTTAACAAAACATTTAGACACTTCATCTGATATTTAAAAGTACAAATACTAAAAATCAAATTGCTTTCTTAGTTCTGTTAACAGACCAAAAATTTCTCTCTTCTCAATAATGAAGATATTAGAAAGTCTCAGTAAGCCTAGGGCTTTATTGTGAGCAGAACTTTCATTTAATAAAACAAGAAAAGATATTTATTTAAATCACTTTCAGTTTCCTGTATCTCAATAAAATCCTTCTGAATATTTGAAGTTGGGAGATTTCAGTTACAAAAATATTAACTTCATCTTACCTTTAACCACCTCTGCCACATCACAATTAGGATCAATACTTCCAATATGTTTGGGATGAGCAGGATTAATATCTCCACCAAACAGAAGTGCTAAAATAAAAACGAAATGGTAGTAAATTATTTATTACCCTTGAGGCAGGCCTGAAAGTTTCAATCTGATGGTATCTGATTTATTGGATACTGTATCATTTTGTAAAAAGATACTCCAGAAAATTGCCAGAATCCTCATTTAAGAAGACTACTTGCCTAACTCCTCATCTTCCCTCCCTTTTTTTAAAATTTCAGTTTTTACAGTTAAAACTATTTAAAACAGAACTTGTGATGTGTGAAGGTTAAGGTGAAAACCTAAATTTCAAAGCAGATTATAAAAAATTAGACAAAATTAAAATGTAAACCACTTCATTCATACCATTATGTCAGAACAGAAGCATTCACAACAATGAAAACATTACAGTAAAAAGGACTGTGGAACTCTAAGGCATCATTAAAAGCCTTTTACACTCACCTAAGCTGCAATTTCACAGCTGGCACAGAGGTCTCACTCACTCACTCGACTTTCTCCCTGGATCTCAGCAGTATGATCCCCACTCCCTCTTTGTACAAGGGTCTGGTACTCACCAAACCCTTCACCAAGAGTTTAAAGGAGACTCTCAAAGAAGTAGAAAGGTTTTGAACTTTATTTCAGGAGTGTTTTTCTGCCATTTTAGCAAGTTAGTGAGCTCTGACATGAAGCAGGTGCAGCATGAGGTGAGCAAAAGTCTATATCTGAAAGCTTTTCCTACCCTGGGCACAACAAGCTCACACACTGGGCACTGTGTCCTGCAGAACAGTGCTGCAGGAAACAGTCTGCCAGGAATGTAGGAACAGAAATGCAAACTAATACAACTTGGGTTTGCATTCTGCTTTCCAATTATCTTTTCCTTCAGTGCTTCAAGATTAGTATTTGCCATCACAGACAGACCACTAACACTGCTAACACACTGACATTATACAAGGTTAACTAAACTTTAAGCATCTACAAGCAGTTTTAAGCTCCAATCAGTTAGAGGAGGATCCATAGGAAAAGCTAGTTCAGTTCAATGAATCAAGTTTAATATTTTAGAGTAAGTGCAAATTATGCTAGCACTTAGCCCAAGAATTCTATTAGGACAATGTTTGTACTCTACTGCTAGAACTCTTCGATGAAAACCTTTTAACTTAGTTTTATGTCTGTCACCTCTCTGCCCAGGTGCAAGTAAAGAAAAAGCTGTATATTCATCTCATTTTGTATGCTTAGCCACATTCAAGTTATCTGTACATACACAGGAAGGCATTTGTTAGTCACATGAAAGGTTACTGGAAAGACACACAACTTGTAGTAAAACACCTCATACTCCAGCATCCACATTATCTCTAGCGTACAACAATTTCTAAGAGCTCAGAAAAGCAGAATACTGAGCAGAGAACAAAGCTCTAGAGCTAAAAGGCACAAGACACACTAAAACAGACCAGAAGACTGTCCTTAACTTTATACAGATCATTTTCTGCATGGTTGCACATACTGGTTAATAGGAGCTGTGCAAGTAGCTCCCTTCAATCTGTAATACGAATATAAAAAAGTGAGTTTATTAGTAACAACAAATGAAACAGAACCTAATGACAAAGGATGACTAATTCCAGCATTTATCCGTAAATAGGAAATAGGAAGTAAGGGAAGACAAGAGCTATAATTTAAAACTTTAGTCAGAAATACTTAACCTCTTTAGAAGGCAAGAAAGTCTAGATAATTTGCCAGAAAAAATATATGTATAGTACCCAACCTATTCAAAATTTACAGCATCTTTGCATTTCATTATGAAATAAACATGAGCTTTACAAACTATGATGAAAACTTTGTGAGCAGGGAGATACAACTACTCTACTACTACCACCTAAAAATATGTCATGTATCCCTTCCCAAGCCATCTCAGCCAACAAGATTAAAAAGCGACAGCCACACTAAACAAAGACTGACAATTCTAAAAGAAAGCACACTGGTGTTTTGGATTCATTTCTGATCATTGTAAAGTATCAAATTAACCAGCTGCCAGTATATCTTTCGCCATAATTACCACAGAATAGGCATGAGAAGGAAAAAAAAATGCAAAAGAAAGCTTTATCTTCAGATTTACAAGCAATAATTAATGAGTTTTCAAGGAAGAGAAAAGTAATTACTTACTGTGTTGGTTAATAAGCATACGGAAAGAGATGCGGTTGGTGTAGAACCTATCTAGAAAATACTGGATGTTACTGCTAACAAATGGATCAAAGCCATATTTTTCCTTGTATTCAATCACCCCTTGGGCCATGGTTGGAACCACGTCATTGTGTCTGTTCCTGACTTTAATTAAAACATCTAAAAAGCTGGAGGAAACAAAATTAGAAACAGATTGTTAGAAATAAAATTAAATTCAACAACAGCATAACCATATTACCTGTTTACTATGCCTCCCAGTCAATAAAAAAAATATCAGAGGGAAAATACAAAAATACAGTACCTAAAAACAAGCCTATTTAAAAAGAAGTATTTGATCAACCTCTCACTCAGAAGACCAGTGAAGCATTTAGAGCCCCAAATTAAGTTATTCCTTCCCCAAATATTCCTTGAAATTAAATTAATCTCTCTTCAACACTGACAGATAGTAAAAGATTCTTTCACTGCGATCATATGCACCACCATAACTGTCATCCCCTGCAACTTCTAACAGCAGCTGGGAGATTGGAAAGGAACTCAGGAAAAACAACCTCAGCATCCTTTATAATTTCCTTAGAAAAATTCATGTTTTCTTCCCAACACCTCAACCCATGCAGTGAACTTCGAGTGCACTTCCTTCACCGGGCATCTCTTGGGCTAAGTTAAAATCTCAGGACATTATGTGACATTGTGCAATTGTGTGACTCGTGTTCAGTTTCCTCTGACACCACTGGATGGCAGAGTGAATACAACGGAGCTCTCTTCCAGAGCTCGGCAACTTTTAGGGTAACAATCCCATCGCTTTTAACAAGCACTTCCTTTGAAACAGCTTGGAGGATTTCTGTTTCTCCTGCCAAGGCAGCTCAACACCTATGATCTCCAATGTGCTCATCCTTTTTTCCCCCACAGGCAAACCCATACATACTTGAAATACCAATTATTAATAGCTTTCTGAAGTGGAAACACAGAAAATCAGTACTACTCAACTCTGCTACGTTCTCCAATATTAATTTAATGTTAACACCACAATATTTATGTAATGCTATTTTAGAAAGCACAAACGGTGAAATGCAGCTTTCCAAAGAAAGCAGAGCTGGAAGACTTGTTCAGCTATGTCTGTATCTGCAACTCTACAGATCCTTTTCCAAAAAACATCAATAGAACATTCTTTGTGGATTTATAATGAATACTGAAAAGAAATGTATTAATTATTTTTATCAAAAGTAGAATATACACCAGCTAATGAAAGAATCACAGAAATCACTGAAAGGTCTCTTAGTCCAATCCCCCTGCAAATGAGCAAGGGAAAGAACAAAGACCAGAAAAAGTAGAAAAGACCAGCCATTCACCAATGGTCACCACATATAAATCAGATGTTTTCTTCCTTTTCAGCACCACTTAGTCAGGCCAGTAATTTTTTTTTACACCATTCTTAACAAATGATACATTTTAAAATAATTTCTCCCACTCTACACTGCCAAAGGAATGTAGGATTCATTTTTACTAGTTTTTTCCTGATCCTAAGACTAGCTGTCCGTTTTTGCCTGTGTATTAACAAACAGTTCACCAGTCTTTCAACACTACTCTGTTGCATAGAAAAGGGGAAGTTTTAACTGCCTAATTCCCCTTCTAAATACTATCACAGGACAGAATGACTGTTGTCTTTCTTACCAGTCTTGCTGACTGGGCAGCTTGGAACATTTAATGCCCAAAAAGTTTATAGATTTTTAGTGTTTATTGAGTCTTGGCTCTGTGTGATCTGTTACCTCTGAGAGGTGATGTTAGAGACTGGTGCCTGGCTGTACTTGTGCTGCTTCTCTGTTTCTGAGCAACAAGACTCTAGTGAAGAGCAGAGCTGGAAACAATGTTTGCAGTCACATCTGAAACAGAACTGACAACACTCTTTCCTGTTGTTTGCTCTGCTATTTGTTTTTTAAATACCTCTACTATCCCCAATACATATCTGATGCCAAGAGGGCAAATTGTTCACTGATATCCCACTACCAAAGTGCTTAAATGCACAGAGCATGCCAAAGGGCAAAGGGCTCAGGTTTATCTGCTGCAGACGAGCAAAATCATAGCTGAAGCTTAGTCAGCATATAATTAAATATATAATAAAGGAATGCCTCATTATTGCACTTATATGACAAACCCCTTGTTCCATCTTCCAAGAGAACTGAGTTCACTCATGTGCTTCCATCAAGCAAATGCTTTTAAAGGGACAAACACAAGAAGAATATACGTACATTTCAAAGTAGCAGAACACAAATAGCAACACATCTCCTCAATCTTAACACTCATTACTTACAGTCCCTCTACCTGCTACACCCCTGAAAGCCACAAAGCTTTTATTGCAGTCAAACTGTGGGAGACCATATCAAGGAATTTTTTAATTGTTCATGGGATTAACTGGGAATACTCCAAACCAGCTCTGAAAATGTTGCTTACCGATTATTTTTCTGTCCACAATTCTGTGTATTTTCAAAACCACAAAGAATAAATAATGCCATTGGTTTGACAAATGAGAAATTATTAATAAGAAGCTACTTTAGTTAAGTGAGCTTCAGTGGTTTCTGTATTAACAGAAGAATACTTAAGGCATTACCACAGGTGTTAAATAAACAAAGGCTTAAAAAATCATGCAAATAGAAATAACTTGTGTTGTGACATTCATTAATTAACTTCCTAATAACCTGTATAAATTATTCTATTTTGCTCTATCGCTACAGTGCAAAAAAACAAGCATAAGAAAGTCAACATAAAGACAAAGGGATTTTTTTTTAGTATCTCTTATGGATAGTATTACCTGAAAGATGAAAAACACGAATGTGATGAGTAGAATAAAAACCCTTTTAAATGCAACAAATGCAATGGTTTGGGGTTTTTCTGAACAGCTGCTCTTTTTTGAATCAGTGCTAGCTGGCAGCTGAGTATCACCAGAAAGAGAGGTGAAAGTTCACACTCAAAGATTTCTGTACTAGAAAGTGTATCTACTTCTAAAGTTCAAAATTAATTACAGTAGCATTTCACATTATGTAAAAGTAACAAAATGGCACCTTCCTAATCAGATGTACTCCAATATTTATTTAGCTGAAACTGCTTATAGAACACTATTTTGATTGCAGTGCTGCAGAAAGGAAGGGTCCTTGTTTACCAAGTTCCTTGTGGCATGTTATCTCAGACATGCTGGCAGCTGATGGCCTCAGTGGCTCCCAGCTCTAGGACACTCCCCTCACACCCTCCCTTGAGAGGGCCACGAAGTGAAAAATCAGCAAAGAAACTCGAGGGTGTAGAGGCTGCACTAAGTGTCCTTTGAGAGCACACGTCAACAGCATGTTTTACAAACCCTTCGATTTTTGAAACACAGCTTCAACCTCTGTGTTTACTGGATCGTGACATCTTGGGAAATTTCCAACACTTCTGCCTGCTTGCACCCTTCACCAAGCGTGGACACTTTATCTCAGGGCTCCTGTTATCACACTGTTTGGCAGAACTGCAGAAAAACTTCCACCTGACGCCTCTACAGCTCAAAAAAAATATTTGTGTTACCAAAAAGGTAACCTACCATTTGACAAATGCCCATACTACTGACAGTGACAGAAATGTGGCAATGCTGCAGTGAGGCTTCATAAGGTCAGCTAACCAACAGAAGGCAACAGAGAAATTGAAATACTTCTAAAATGCTTCTTTAGAACAATGCCAAAGAAAAAAATCTCTTCAAAGGATTTGCCCAATGTTCACAAAAAGGTAACGCCCAAGAACATGCATCTGCCCTCCAATTCATACACTAGGAGCACAGAGAAACTGGGCAACTCTGAAAAACACTAGGCTTTAGTTTAGTCTCTACACCTACTCCTATAATCACTCACCCTCTCCATTGCAGGGGCGTTGCTGCCTCTGTTGGCCACACTCTCTAACATTTTAGGGACCACAGAGCTGAAAGCAGGCTATCCTTCCACTACATCCGTTTCCCAATTCACTTCACTGTGTAGCCTCACACACAGCTGTGCCACTGCATGGATGACATCTATAATACTGTAACACTAATACAGAAAATGCTTTCCTCAGAAAGTGAGCCCAAACTCTGAGAATACCAGACAAGCGGCGATAAAACCACAAATAGTCAGGGGACAGTTTTCTGTTCAACTGATTAAAAAAAAACAGTAATTGAAGAACTACTGCCAACACTGATAGAGCATATCTGTGGATATCCAACCTTCTTGAAGGATCAGTTTCTGTTCTGGCTAATCCGGGTAACAGAAGCAGAGGAGAGAAGGGGAGCTAAACTGAAGTCCACCTCAGCTGACAGGAAGGCACTCTCACTTCAAAAAATCAACTTGTCTGTTATTCTTCATGTTTTTTGAGTGTCTGAGGTGGACACCAGCTCCAGACAGAAGGTGCTGGGATGGAACTTGAACAAAGGCACTTCCACCCGGGCAAGACTCACATCTTGTGCACTAATTAAGGGAGAAGAGATGGGGGCCATCATGAAATGCCTAAATCACCTGATATCCCACAGGCCTCAGACAAGGATGGGCATTCGATGGCCAAAGGATGCAAGGCTGGGTCTTCTGTCCTATGAGCCACATACCCTGTAACATTAACATGTAAAACCTGCTGTTCTACAGCATGTTCCATACAGGAACAGCATAGTGGAAAGGAGCCAAGAGATGAAGCTGCTCCAACCCCTCATTATAGGCTGCTCTTGGCAAGGTACTCAGAGATACCCCACAGGTACTGCCTGCACAAAAAAGGCTTTGGTCCAAAGGTCCAGGCATACCTTATCTTCTAGGATTTTCTTTAAGCAAACCAATTTGGTTGAAGAACTATTCCTATTTATGCATCCCTAAAGACATTTAAAGTCCCAGACAACACTCAAGTTCCCTATGTAATGATACGTGCAATCTGAAAAGAACAGAAAACTTTAGTGCAAACTTAATTGAACTCAGAAATGTGGGAGTTTTTACCACTGAAAAGCAGCTCATTTAACTACCAGGATTCCTGATATGCTTCTGACCACAACACATAAAAGTAGGATAGGGCTATGTAGCAGCAACATGGAATACTGACACAGGAGTTGAGAAATTCGTTAGATGTATCTGCAGGTTGTTATAAGATAAATATGGACACAGTTAAGAGTATTGTTGAAAGACAGTTTGTAAAGAATATTTAAAAATTCTAATTACAGGTCAATATGCAATTAAATGGCATAGCCTTCAGTAAGTTAGGAATAGACGACATCTCAGAGCAGGAAAGTAAATCTGAATTTCTAATCTTAGATAGCCTATCCAATACTGCCAAAAAGAACAAATCTTCTTCTCTTTAATTGGATAATACATTTTTAATCTCTTTTCACAGGCCAGATGCAGTAGAGAAGACAATTCTTACTATCAAAGAGCCTAGCTGAACTTCACCTCAATAGGTAGCAATAAATTCCATGCATCCTTATTATACATACTTAATCACACAGAATACAACAATTGCAAGATTTCAAAACTTTTAACAAACAGTTATCCTGAATGATATTGATATTTGCTTCATTATGAAATATTTGTTCTGCCATAATCATATAGAGCATTGCAAACAGTATTTGCAGTTGCCATGAAACAATATCATGAATGCCATATCCATATGGCAGAATCAGATAATTCATGTGTTAATTATGACTCTAAAAATAGATCTCCAAGAGAACTACTCATTAGCCTTTATAAATATATATATTTATTATACTGTAATCTACCTTGAACCTCTGAAGTTCATAAAAAGCTGAAATTCAGTTACCTAAATACACCAAAGATGGTTTCAGAAGCTACACAACCACCTTGCCTCAACCCACACATCCAGGACATTAAAGGCCTAAGAGGACCTGTGTTACATTTGCCAAGCTCAGTCAGATGTTTAGGACAGCTCATGCCATCTCAAAGGGCAACAGATACCTTAGTTTTGGTAACTTAATCCCATAAAGGAAAGCCTACTGATAAACTAGTCACAAATAGAAATTCCTGTGTCATCAGCAAACAGTAAATACAGAATCACAAAATGTAACAGCTAGCAGTGGTTGAAAAATTGATTTGATTTATCCTCAACAGAATAAGCACGTCTAGAATGCCACTAAAAACTATCTATTTACAAAAGCTTTTAAAATGGGAGGCTCTATACCCTTCAGTCGGTTCTCATTCATATTACAGTCTTTACTTTTTGCCCATATTCTCAACTTTGCCTATATTTTTGAACATATTCTCATCTTTAATAAAAACTAGACAGTTTTTAATTCTCCAGTTATTCAGTTAGAGCAACCAATTATCCTTTCTTACAGTGATATTATTTTTCTGGCATACACAGAGTTCCAGTGTCTCCACAATAATTTTTTTTGCCAGTCTAAACAAATGCCTTCAGCATTATTCAGAGGTGGAACTATCCAAGTCTCTAAATCTTGCTCCTTTCACATCAGTAATGTCTGTGAGTGTTTTAATTTCTTAAAAGGTAATACCCAGAACTGCAGGCAGCATTCCAGCATAGCACTCACTCTGAGTAAATGGGTACTTTCCCCTTTTTCAATAGCACCACAATTTAGTCAGTCTGTAATCCTTATGGCTCCTTCTACAGCTCTGCCATGCAGGTAACTTCCTGGCCCTGCACTTGAGCTTCTCCTACATGTACTGGTTGAAACACAAAAGCTAAAGTGTCAAAATCTCAGATAAAACACTCACAACCAAAAGAGCACAACATTTGAAATGCAGCACCTCCTAAAGCCCTTATTTAACCTAATGTAACATGACAGCTAATGTATCTGAAATTTGCTGAAGGCAAAACATCATTTTTGCACAGCACAGGCCACATGGTGCACAAACAGAGTAAGATGTTTTATGAGACTCTCTATAAAGCACTGCTTGACCATGCAGGATTTCAGAGCTTAAAAAGAAATCCGAAATACAAACTATCCTAAGAAAGCTAACTGATGGAACAAAAAACCTGCAATAAGTAATAGCCTGAAACAAATTGACTGCTGTAGGTACAGGGTAACAACAGACCCTAGTGTTGGACAGGTGTGTGTGTTTTTGTTGTTTTGCTTTCAAGTCTTTGATGCATATGTTGAACCTGCTGTTCTCACATGTGGGGTTCTTTTCTGTTTTATGCATATAGATTTCAAGGAAACATTCTAATAGCGATTTCAATATGATTTTGTTCATAAAGAAAATTTTTTAGGTTTTCCTTTCTTCTCAAGTAATGTTATTCAGTGAATTAGGTGAGCACCAACTAATTGAAGTCCATTAAAAAAGCTTTTAGATAAAAACCAATGACTGACACATTAGAATGCTTTCAAACTGAAAAAAAAAATCCAACTATTAATGTGTTAACATACTCTCCACAACAGAGCACTAAGCTCAATGGATACTAAAATGACATTTTAGTTTTAAGGAGCTGATATACAAGTATAATCTCACATCCATGCTGTTTTCTCAATATAGCCTTGGAGGAAGCATTTCATTCAATTTCTTAAACTACCAATCTGCATAAATACAAATTACATTGTTAGAAAGCACTTAAATACCTATATTCTACTCCAGATTACAATTTTGGCTTTTGCCATACATATTCTACCTTACAAATAAGGTTTCCTATGTTTTCCTATATTATCAAACCATTTGGTATTTGAGACAACTTATTTTAAAATGGACTATTAGAATAAATAAATTACTCACTCATCCAGAACATGAGGATCCTCAGGACTTTTATTTTCGTATTCTAAAAGCTCAAGGAAACTCTGCATGTACCTGAAAGATGCAAAAATTATAAAAAGAGAATTAAAATACTTAAACCCAAAATACTTTTGAATTTCTTTAATTTTAAGACTACAGGGTGACATAAAAGTAATAAAAGCACAGTACACAGCTCTCTACAAAGACTAAAAGTAAGTTGGATGCTGCAACAAAGGAAAAGAAAGCAACTACAATATATTATACTAAATTTAAAAGTATTACTTAATACCTTACAGTCTGCAATTCAGGAAAACTGCTATATAAATTAAACTAAAGTTCACAGAAGTAAAACCTCTCCACAGATAAGTCTGTAATTTCAGGTAGTTTGTCCCTGTACTTTGGTTTTTCCACTCTGTACAGATGTTAGTTTGTTTCCATATTCCTCAGAGTGCAATCCAACTTTTCTTTCAAGATAAAGCTCAGGGGAACACCCCCCAGAAAGCACAATAACAGGACTGCACCAAGCTGGTCCTACCAGAGCACTCCAGGAGAGCACACCCATTCACAGCTCCCACAGCTCCTGCGTGTGACACAACCCTCGGTTTCATAAAAACCCCTCTTACACAACACAGCTCTCTCCTGCTCACATTTGGCTCACATGAGATGAACTGAGGCTTAGAGCCCCAGAGGTAGCACAGAGGACCCAAATCACAAGCCCTCGACACGAAGGTGGCCAGCCTGCTGTGTAGGATACTGGCCCAATAAAGTATAAATTCTGCCACCACACACAGCACTGGCCAGGAGCAGGTATCACCCCTGGAGTAGATGCATTCAGCAGCACCAATGGAGTTTTAAGAACTACAGAACCAGGACTTGTTTCCTGAGGTAAATCACACAAGGTATCAAGCACACATAAAAGGGAAGGTTTCAATGTTACCCTCCCTTCTTCACTTCTGGTTAAGCACTGCCACTCAAACTATGATATCAACACTAATTAGATGTTCATCAGATGTGCATCAGGAGCTCCAACTCCCAGCAGTGGTGAAATAGATAAATGAAAAATCAAACAAATCTTTCTCGAACATGAAAACAAGTAATTGAAAGGTCTAAACAGCTAAAGCTAACACGAGAGAAAAGATAACCATAGAGCCTACACAAGGAAAAGCAAAACAAGTAACCAAGCCTCTCTCTTTACAGTAGCAGCTACCCAGTAGATTAGGTCAGCTCAACAAAATGACCTGTGCATAAACTCTTTCGGTAGCAGTTCTATGTTAAGACCAGCTTATTAATAAGGCTATGAAACTTCACCCTGCAACTTCAAGCTACAGCGAAGCTTAGGACAGCACTGTTGTCTATGTGACTCCCTCCAGAACCACACACCACTTACTCCACCCCCACTTCAAGCTGCAACCACAGGTCACTGTGACATTCCTCAAGGACACTTGACATTTTCAGCACTGTCAGCACGGAAACACCAGCTCCTGTCCCTCAGTGCATTTGTGTCCTCCTGTAAACATCAGGAACCATTACAGAAATCTCCCAAATATTTGTCACTTGCAAGTAGGGCATGTAGCTCATACCCCTAGTATTGCCTATTTTAGAAGATGTTATTTTATGCTGCTAAGAGATGTCACCAATTCACAACCATCACACTCTGAACTCGCCTGATTCACATGCAACAATTAAATCATGATCATGCTCACTCAAAGAGATGTATGTTCTTCAACCTCCACTTGTCATCATGTAATACCAGCAAAGTCTTGCTTCTAAAAGACACCACCACACAACGTAACAGGTTGTTTCTAATACAGACTTCCTACCATAAATGTCAAACATCAGCAACCCTGTGCAGACACAAGGATAAAACAGCAATAAACGTTGCCAGTACTGAGGGTAGCTGATACCTGATTTTTGTACTATGTGATTTGACTAGTTGCCATTACTGGTGAAATTATGGAAATGAGCAATGCTTTTCCTTTAGAGGTCTCTCCCTCTGATTCTAAAGTAAAGGAAATACTACTTTAGAAATCAAGTTCATTAGCAAAAGCACTGTATCCAGCAAGCTACCTCAGACAAAAAGGTGCATTTCAAGCCTAAGTTACTCAAATTTCTTCGAAGCCTGTGACTAAATCAAGCTAGAAGAAAATCACTTTATGTCAAACAAACCTAACCCACTGCTCAGTGCCTATCACTGTACATCACCCAATCTGGGACGTTGTAATACCCTTCGTCTTAAATCTCTGAATAGAAACTCAAGAGCTGCAAATGCTGTACACCTTTTTCTTTTATGCAGGTGTGATTTCCAGTCTGTACATGAAATTCAGCCCTTCACACCACACCTTCTCTCCTAAACAGCTCAAAAGAAATTTAAAAAATATGTTTAAAAGGAAATTCATAATTGTTCTTAATCACTACCACCATTACACTCTGAGGACAGGTGAGCAGCCAACAATACAGTTCATTCCTGTGAAAGTGTGTGTGAAAAAGTAATTTCCTTTTCATACAATCCATCTACTTCCTTGCATTTTCTTCTAATTTGAACTGTAGGTGCAGAGAGGGATAAATGAAGGTGGTAACTACTGGATTTATCAAGCAATGAAAAGCAAGACCTTGTGATGTTTAAACATAATTCACATACAATTACTAGCCAGAAAGAACAAAAAAAGAAGTACCAGAATAATGCGTGAATTGCTGTATCATTAAGAAATCAATACAACTATACAGAATACAAAAAAAAAAAATAAAATCCAGCATAGATAAGAAAATGTCAGTTATATTTTGCTGTATTTGGTGAGTCATCAAAAGTAGAAATCAAAGTCTATGCCCTTCAAACATATTTTCATTCTGGTGTAATTTTTTATCACAATGCACTACAATTCATTGGGCAAGATCTTTGGTTTCAAGAACCCTTTTTGCCTTGTTCTTCTTTTAATTACTGCCACGTAGAATGAATTCTTGTTAGTCTGTCATATGCAATAATTTTAGAATGGCACATTTCATACAGGAAAGCACTGCAGAAGTCCATAATGTCAGCTCTGGGTTTTCTTTTCTTAAAAAATTCATGCAACATACTTCTGTTTTTTCCCTGATGTGTATTTTACAAAGATATTCCTTTACAATCATTCTAATACCAAAGCACTGAAATGAGAAAACCAATCTCCATGGTAACACAATCTTGTTAGCATAGTCTCAATACAGAAAGTAGAGGAAAAAAACAATTATTAATCCCCAAACTGTACTTATTTCTCTAACGGGTCTTCCCCAAGAGAGCAATGGAAATTTATAGCATTTTCTATGAAAAAGCACTAAAGAAAAATAGAGAAATTTGTCCAAGGCTAAATAAAATGTGAATTTTACATATAACTGAGTAACATAGTGTGCAAACCTCATACCTACTTTTGATATTTTATAAGCTCTAACCATATCCATTGTAAGGTTTTATTGTAACTATTTTGCCTCATCACATTAGCGACCATATCCTTTATTAAACAATTCTGCCATATGTTCAGTATCCTGACTGCACTTTAGCTATAGTGCCCTCAAAGCTGGCCTTGAGAAGACCCACTTCTTTGGATCAAGCAAATGGCCCATTGAACTTGAAAAGCTGAAAACAAGAGTTGAAAACAAGACTGTCGATCTGTCTGCTATTTGGAATCATTGCAGTTCACAGCCAGAACATATGAACTGTGTTACTGTCTTGAGTCATTTTATTCCTTTCCTATTCCTTGCAAAAGATACACAGAAATTAAGCTACAAACTCGAACTGAGACAGAGTTGATGTTTTATCTTTACTGAAATGCAAAACTATTCTTTTTGGTTTGTTGAGCTTTATTCAGGAATGTGTAGCTGAGCAGTATAAAGGAAGGACAGTAGTCCTGCCTCTCCTCAGTGCCACACACACCAGGCTGAGGAGCCCAGAAAGGAAGGAGAAAAAACCAACAGCACCTTTCCCAAGAGCAATCAAGCAATCAGATGTAAAATCTGATCGGCAGCGAAGCACAGGAAGCAAAGTGCCTCCAGCACGGCCATGGAGATGGATTGGAGAAGGAGAGAACAGGTCTTGCCTGCAGCAGGGAGCAACAAAACCAGGCTGCCTCCCAAGGGAACCATAAGGGGTAAAACACAGAGACAATCCAGAATGTTTGATGGCTGGAAGCAGAGAGGATTGATGGGAAAGGATCCATGCTGTACTGTAGGTAAGGCTGATTTTTTATTCCTTTATTTACAGAGCTGCTTTAATTTAAAAGTCTAATAAAACTCATCCTAAAGATAGGACCTGTTTGTATTAATTTTTGGCATGCTGGCATTAAGGAATAGATTGGGAACTCAAATGTTAAATCTCCAGTTAATTTGGAATCCCACCAAAAGCATATAAAAATATAAGTTTTCTAGTGTAAAATCGTAGTAAAAGGGAACAAAACATGCTTAAAACTATATAAATTATTGAATATTAGTAAATAAATATATTAAAGTGAAAAAAGAGTTAAATGTCTTGCTCTCTTGTGGCAAATGTACAACAGATTCCTGTTTGCCTATTAATGAACTGCCAAGCTTTTTAAACCTATGGCATAGCAAAAACAAAGGATCGTGAAATCTGACCCTCAAAAAAAAGATTTTCTTGAAGTAATTTTGAAGTGCATCGAGAAGAGGCTTTTTCATTTTACAAGGTCACAAAACAGCTGAACAACTAAATATATATTTGTTAATTCTACTACATAAAACTCAGGAATCTCACTCTGGGTATCTCTAAACTTTAGATTAAGCAACTATAAATGTGTTTCAAAACCTGCTATCAGCATAACACTCAAGGTCATTCATACTGAAGTTAAAAAGATCAAACCAAAGGTTTTATTAAAAGATAAATTTAGAAGTAAATTTTGCCCAAGGTTCATCATCAGGACTGACAAATGACAGGTCAATGTTTAATTAAGCAATTAAAAACCTCTGTACAGAAAAATAAGAACTAAGCTCTTTAAAGTCCACACCTATAACAAGGGGAAAAATGCTACAATTACTTTTCTTACTCTTGACATAAGGTGATAAAAATATTCTTACATAATGCAGATACTCCTTTTCACAAAAGCTCTTAATTATGGATCAAAATTAGAAGAAAATTACAGAAAACACTTTGATTTCAAACTTCCATCTCTTGGCTTGAAGTCCATTCCAACTTCTTCAGCACATTACAGCTTGGTATTTTAGCCTGTCCAACAGATAACTATTGGCCTACAGCTGTGATAGTGTAAATCACTTTGCCATATAACATTTCGTACTGCTTTTTTTCATTTGGAGTTTTGGTTTTTTTTTTCCTTTTTTTCATCAGTAGTATCTATTGTGGCCATAGAAATCATCACGACTCCTCAAACCTCTTCAACAAAAATTCTGAAGGGGCCCTCCACTCTGAACACCCATTCAGTTCCTTTGCCAGAGGGATCCAAATGTTGCTTAGCTCTGTTCAGGCAGGGCAGAAGCACAAGCCACAGCACAGACATTTGGACTGGAAGTATTATGCTGCAGTCTCTATGGAAAAATTATTTCCTTTTCTTCATTCACCTGTTTGTCCACATTTCATTAAAGACAGCTTCATAAGTCAACCAGATTAAAAAAGCCTAAAAGGCCTGCTCTTTTCTACAAGCAAAACAACTTCCTGTGACATCAGACAGACAAGCCTTTAAAGCTTGCAAGCTGCCACTTAACCACAAAGTGACTGTGTGGCCCCACAGTATTTACACTCACTTGAAGCACTTCAGCACAATACTTGAAGTGGTCATCAAGACACCCACTGTTACCTTGCAAAGACAAACACAGTACCACATACCCTAATTTATATTTTCTAAGTCTGAAGCTTGATAAATAGGAGACCCAAGCCAGCAGTCAACGTACAGCACAGAAGCTCTGAGCACAGGGGCTATGACTGAATTTAACACAAGCCTGCAACATTAGCTACTTTTACATTAAATAAACTGCTACTCAAAGGGACTTCTGTTGCATATTGCAAAAATATTTTTACAAAAAGTCTTTGGAAAAGTATTAACAGGTAAATGGACAATAAATATCCCATGAACAATGATTTTTTTGTGCTTAATGCATCCAAGGCAGCAGTCTCTGTATCTCGCCGAACATGCAATTAGGCTAGAAATTAATTACTGTGGAAAAGATGGCAGGAGTTTGAATTGCTTTAGATCTATGCTAGTTTTTACAATGAAGAATGTTGTTTACTGGATGACACCAGATTTTTGACCCATTCCATAACTTCCACTGAATACCAGGTTATGTTTTTAAAGGTCTAGCAGGTAAGAAAAACAGATGAGATTTTAATTTTCGCCCAGAATCTTTGACAAAGGAAGAATAAGGAGAAAGAGCAGCTATTTCAAGAAGCCACAAGCGCAATACAGTAACGAATGTTTAAAAAGCTTGCTCTTGGAAGTTATAGACTCATTTTAATTACCTGGGAGACAACAGTATGTTTTTACTAACATACAAGACTAACTTACAAATCCTTAGCTAGGATCCAGATTAGAGTATATACTCAACATTAGACAGAAGAAAATGAAACTTCATTTGACAAGACACAATATGAAACAATTCAAGGCAGAAAACTGATTGATTCAGAAGAATTCAACGATCCTCTGTTGCAAGCAAAACAACACATACAGTGTTAGTTTTACAATAACCTTTCAATCCACTTTTGTTTAAACTTACCAGCTCTGTACCAGCCCCACCGAAGGCCTGTTCAGTAAATTATCAGGCAGCAAATTGACTTCCCTCATGGTGTTCGCCAGTCGCACAGGAAGCTCCTTCCGCAGGAACATGTACGACGTCTTCTCGCAGGCATTGTCACGACCTGTGAGAAGGAAGGAAAAACAGATGCCCATTGCAGCAGATCAAATTGTAGACTTCCTAATGTTAGAAGCTTTAAAAAAAACCACTGAAAATAAAATTTTAAGGCAATTTCAGTACTCGCCTTTACTTTCCTCTCACTCATGAGACACATTTTAAACTTTTACCTTCCTAGAGCTTAACCCTTTGTGTCTGACCTTCCTCATTTCACATCATCTCATTTTCCCTCGCACAAACAAAAATCTCTCATCCTAGAAATAAAATCCAGCAAATATCAAATATTTGATATTACCTGGAAATAGGATCTCAAGATACTAGCTTTTATCCACACAACTTTCATCTTAAAGTGAGCTTCAAAGTAAATGCTGTACACATAAGAGAGTAAGGAGTGAAAACAAAAGGACAAAACAATGATGATGTTTCATGCCACAAGTCCTTCAACTTAAACAATCAAGCAGAGCTGGTGAGACCAGCACAAGCCATCATCCCTCCTAGGACTGGCCTACAAGAGTCTCAGTAGAGACTTGGAAGGAAAGTCCAGTGCTTATCACCATATTCTCATTTGGAAAGGCCTCAGCTAAGATTATCTTTAATTTAACTTTTAAAACACGGTTTTATCTCGGCTAGTATTTTGAAAATAAAGCACTAAAAAAATCCCAACCATACAGTCAGAAAGCAAATAAAAAGATCCAGCAAAATAACAATACCTTCCTGCAGACCTAGCAGTAACAGCATTCATTTTCTGAAGCCATCCTATACAAATCCAAAGACTGACATGACTAAGAGCAATCTTAACCAATCCTTAACTATCCTTCACTAAGGATACCTATAAAATTTTAACTACAAATATTTAAAAGCACAAGATATTAAGCCACTTGCCCGAGTAGTTCAGATGGAAGATCAGACTTCACTTGACATAGTTTTTTGTATTTTGCATCATGGGAAAGTCCCATCATAACTAATTTCTAAGGAATCCAGGTTAATTAAAATTTTTTAAAGTCCATGTTTTACTTGTAATGAACAGCCAGGATTCTGCTTTTATCTAGAAAGACAGGTCTTTCCTGTCTTTTGTGATGATAACCAGTTCAACAATCTGCAAAATTTCTCAGTGAAGGCATAATGTAAGAGCTAAAAATTATGTTCAAGCAAACCAGAAAGTGTTAAAAGCACTGCTAGGCACATAATCACTGAGATTTGCAATTTGCAAGATTCAAGTACTGTGCAACCAGCACAATCAAGGAGATACTTTTAAAGACAGTTCCATTACAATCACAGAGTTTTCACCTTCTTTGCATAGGTAACGTGCATTGATGGATTAGTTCCCAAACCCTAACATTAGCTTGGAGAATATGCAGGAAGGATTAGGATTTCCTTTTTTTCCTGCTCATTTAGGTATCATCAGTCTGGGGCTCATTAAATTCTGATAGTGATACCAATTCCATTATAGTTCCTCTAGTAAACATTTGGACGTATTTTACTTGCTCGCATTTTCACATCTCAATTACAAATACACACATCCTGTCAAAATTAGACAAAGGAAACAAGACATTACATTGTTTTCTGTGAAGCACAGTAATGATTTCAGAGTTCAAGCCTTCAAGTAAATCAGATACCAATACACCTACAACAGACGACAGACACGTGTTTGATCATAAATCACTGTATACAGCATTTCTTTAAAAACTGAGGCTGGACAGTAGGAAAGACTCTCTGGCTCAGCTCAGCCTATACCTTCTGAGCTGGAAAACTCCTCAGAACAAAGACAACAACTGCTTTGTCCCAAGAGTGACTGAGAGCAAATGCAGGGATTCTCTAGGTGACAAAAAGCAAAAGGAATAGAAGACAGCACATACGGAAAATTAGAAAATTAGTAACAAGAACCCACAGTTCATGGGTTTGTGCAAGGCAAACAAAAGCTGCTACAGGCAATCAGGACTCACTGAAGAGACCCACATGTTCTCCTCCCACATGCAAGGGCACATCTCTATTCAACCTATCTCACCCCAGCAGCTCTAAGCCATCTCTTTTTAAGGAGCTGCCTTGCCCTGTTGTACAGTTACATCTTAGGTACAGAGCCCTTTGGGTCCATTTGCATATTCAGTGCAGGAACAGGAAAGGAAGCTCTAGTTTAGTTCCCAGCTTACAAGTTTGCTTCAGTGTAAGTTCAGCTCATCTGTTTGGTGTGGGGCACATGGTCCTTGTATCAGCTCCTTAGCTGCAGTCAGTTTATCTGAGAGCCTCCTCAGAGCTGCTTCAGCATTTAGCATCAGGTCAGTCACCTGCCTGTCAGACAGCACATGGCAAGAGAGAATGGCTACCCACCAGGAGCAGCAGTAATTAAATACCTTCCAGCTTTCAAAGCAAAAGCAAACTGTGTCCTAACACTGCTCCTTGGCTGCTGCTCCTCACAGCAATACCTGTATTACCACTTCCATCAAAAGAAGGGACATCAGATTAAGTAAAAAAATCCCTTAGTCTGTATGTTAGGTATTTTCTTAATATAATTTATTATCAATTGTATGATAGTTGCATGTATGATAAAGCATAACTTCTAAAGATATTTCCAGAAACAGCATTCTAACAAGCTGCAATGAGACTTCTGCACATTTAGCCTACAGTCAGCTTAATTTCTTTTCAAAGTCTGGCTTTAATATTGACCTAGTAATTCCACCTATTTTTCAAAATATACAGCAATCTTTCTTAATTTTGTTCTGACTCCAGCTGGGTCAATACACATTGCCAGCATCAGGCTTTTGTCTTAAGCAGTACAGGCTAAAGCCAGTCTAAATCTACCAGTTTCAGTTCAAAGGAATTTGAAATCACTCTCTCAGGATTAAAGTGCAAGATAAGTTTGTGAATAATCCCTCCTTGATTTACACTGCAACCCTCAACAAGTTACTTGAGAACACAAATGTATGAAACAATGACTCGTTTACCTTTGTATGAATTCAAATGGCAGAAAGAATACTCATCCTACATCCTAGTGGAAACTTCACTGCACTAGACATCAAGGGCTATATTTAGCTTTATTTCCAAAAATTTAAACTGCTTAAAAGTGTGCTATTAAGAAACTGAAAACTAGAAAACTCGAAGAGAAACATTTCTTATCCACAAAGCCAAGAAGAAAGTAAAGGCATCTCATGATATACAGGGTACAGAATTTTGCACACTCCACCACCATTGGCTTCCCATTGTCTGTAAAACAGCAATTCTTGATTGCAATTGAAAAATAATTCAGTTTTGTGGCTTAAAGTGGAATAATTGTGCAGACCAAATTCTTAAATCAGGCGTTGAAACAAGTTTCTTTCAACAAGTATCACATTAAGGCCACAAAAAGAATACACCAGACAGGATACAATCTCTTTGTTACAGGTCTGTTCTACGGCAGGGAACAAAGCAATCCCATACTATTCTTCCTGGTAGAAAACCCTATAAAGTAATTACGTTTTCTAAGGGATTAGGTGTTAACTCAGGGTCAAGAGGCCCTCAGATTATCTTCAGATTTTTACTCTTAGTGAAGTTACACTTGCAAGCTGATTTAAAAACTATAAAATCGTACATACAGTGCCTGTAACTTAACCCAGAATTTTATCCAACAAGATAAAGGAAAAGCACACATAAAACATCCCACTCTACTGGTAAATTACATTAATTTTTGAGCATCTTCTAAAAGTATAGATGGATGCAACAGAAATCAAGATAACAACAAGAAAACAGTCTGTGACACAAGAATGAGTGAATCTGATAGATTTACCTAAGAAGAAATAAAGAAAGAATACAGCAATTCTCTCCAAGACCTCACAGTTCATTGCAGAGAAGGCAGCAGTAATTGTGCCCATCAAGAACCAAACAAGCATTAGACTCAAACTGCAGAAGATTCAACACTTAATTTACAGAAACTTCCTGATGGCAAACACTGTGAGAGCAACCCCATCGGATTTAGGCAACGTCTTTTACTAGTGCAGTAGACATCTGCCCAAAATTATACTAAGCTAGTTGATTCAGTCTCTGAAATGAGATTAGACTGAACACAGCCTAACATTCTTTGAAGGCCTAATTCTCTCACAACCCAAGAGGAAGAAAGCAACCGCCTCATATTTTTGTGTAAATTTGCACAGGGAAGCAAGCAAAAAGTGGAAACTCTGAAGCAAGTCAAAGTCTGCAAAAATACAGCATAGACTGCATAAATTAAGCTATACAATAATAGTTACTTTGACAGAAAAATGACAATAAAAAGCAAGATATTTGTGAAGAAACTAATCCTCAAGTTATTACTATTGCATGCATAGCTAGCAGAGAAACTGAAAGAAATGTCAAGTGTCACCATGAGTTTAAAAAAAGGTTTAATAAATGTTCTACTACCTTCAATCTTTTGAGCAATCTTACCTGTCTGGGTTCATCAGTTACCCTATATAAGTCACATAGAAAATCATATCAGTGGCCTCCTCTCTGCCACTTTCAAACCTTCATCTCAAAACTAGCACCAAAGAGAAACTATGATGCCAATCTTGAGACTATTTTGTTTAAAAACAAATCAATGTAATGGATTGACAATAGATACAGCCTTCAACATAGTGAAAATAAGAAAATATGTCAGCAATACAGCAATCTCTTGGACCTTACATCAAACTCAGGTCAGTGAAAAATATTCCATGGACAACCTTCAGTGTAGCAAAACCTACACATGACAGACACAGGGGAGTGGTACCTGTACAAACACTGCTGCATCTGGAATGGTCACTGCTCATGAGAGTCAATGTTGGTGGATTTGCTTATGCAGTGAAATACGATACACCTGAAGAATGATGTGACTGCCACAGCACAAGTTTAAATTGAAAATATAAGTAAACTTATACATTAAAATTTAAAAAGAAGTTCACCCAGCAGATGACATTTAATATTAAATCAGTTTTTCCAGACATGAAAAAGTGTTACATGTTTCCACCAAAAATGAATCATGTCATTTATTCAACTAGACAGGTACCAGAGGGAGATAAAAACTTA